AAGAGTATTCCATCAACTTCATTTTGCAAATGAAAAAGATAGTAGGACGCAACCAATACAGACTGAGAAAAAAATACACAGTCCTAAAATATATTAGAAAAACCAGAAAGATGGAAAACTAACCAATCAATACAAAAAGACAGAAAAAGGGAACAAAGAACATTTTTTTAAAAAAATGAATGATAAGGGCAGAAAACCAACCAAAAAGCCTTGGCTTTAAACAAAGAAAAGGTGGCTGCAAACCTTTGGCAAATCTGAGGGAGGAAAATCGCACGTAACACATGCACATTAGGAATAAGAAAAAAAATCTTAACTACAGATTATGAGATGACAACATTTTGGGGGAACTTCCAAGTGACAAAAGACAGCATAAACACAGTTAAGAGACAAGAAAAATATTGGAAGATTTTTGCAACATACATAATGAAAAAAGTATAAATATCCAGAAAATGTTACAACTCCTACAAATTAGTCAGGAAAAAACAACTCAATAGAAAATGGGCAAAAGAAAAGAACAAGCAATCACAGAAAAAGAAACAAAGTGGCCAGTAAACATAAACTGTTCAACCTCAGTAAAATAAGAGGAATGCAAACTAAAGATATTACCTCTCACCCATCAGTTTAGCAAAAAGCAATAAATTAAATTATTAATCAGTGAGTATTAGCAACGATACGGAGGAATAAAATACTCCCATATACCTGCTGATGAGAATGTAAATTGTTACAAGCACTGTGGAGAGCTGAAAATGCAAACACCTTCCTCTTACAGTTAAACAAATCTGAATAAACACCCTTCTTTGCTTCCCACCAAAACCCACTAAAACAAGAATTTAAAAATGTAAAAGATGTACATGAACATGGACAAAAAGAATGGGAAAGGGCACACAGGATATAAGAGGTTTCAACAAAATTTATTGAAAGGTGAAAAGTGAATAAAAAACAGAAAGCCAAAATCTAACTGGCTAAGAGGGAAGGGAGCCAAAGTAGAAGACAAATCATGCCAGAGAAGCCAGAAAAGGATCTGAATTAAGAAACATGAGGTACCTCTGAATATAGTTCAATGTGAGGGTGGAACGAGGTGTAGTCAAAAATCCTTCAAAGAAAACCTCGGGCTCCCAGATCCTCTCTGCTCTGAGGGTAGGTTCACTCTTAGAAAAATGTCAAGAGATTGGCCCGGCGCGGTGGCTCAGGCCTATAACCCCAGCACTTTGGGAGGCCGAGGCAGGTGGACTACCTGAGGTCAGGAGTTCAAGACCAGCCTGAGCAACATGGAGAAACCCGTCTCTACTAAAAATACAAAATCAGCCGGGCAGAGTGGCGCATGCCTATAAATCCCAGCTACTCGGGAGGCTGAGACAGGACAATTGCTTGAACCTGGGAGGCAGAGGTTGCAGTGAGCCAAGATCGTGCCATTGCACTCCAACCTGGGCAACAAGAGCGAAACTCTGCCTCAAAAAAAAAAAAAAAAAAGTCAGAGATATCAAATACAACTAAGGTGGAGATCAAGCACTGTTAAGTGGGGTAGGGAGTGCTAACTGACTACATCATTATCAGTCTATCCTATTCCTTATTAACAAAACCATGTATCTTTAGCTGAGTATACAGCTGTTTATAATGAAAATTCCTTTTCCCAGCATCCTATGAGAAGTGGACACACATGATGGCTGGTAACATATAGGCAGGGTGTTGTGGAACGGTTGCCAGGAAACACCCTAAAGGGCGAGCCCTGTACCTGGAACTTGGATGATTGCAACCTGGACCTGAGAACAATATTCTAGGTTTTAAACTGCAAAAAGCTGAAAGGAATCTGAGCCCCAATTAACTTTGCAGAACCACTATACCAGCCCTGGGCTACCAGAACTACCTACCTGCCAACTTTTTACAAAAGAATAAAATATTAACTCAGATAATTTGGGATCTGCCACACAGAAATGAACCTAACCCTAACGCAGGTGTCATACTAAAAATAGATGTACCTGACAGACTGCATATATGATTGTTAAGATCTCCAACCTCCATTCCCCAGGATAAAATTTAGAAAGCTGATAAGCAGACTTTTTCATGGAAGGAGACTAGAAGCTTTCTCTCTAAAGAAATTGATCACCACAAAAGAAATTACACAATGCTGGTAACTGGTATATCTGGAGCTTCAAATAAAATACAAAATAAAAAATAAAAAACCAGCAAGGCTCCCATTTGATCACCCTAGGTCACCATTTACCAAGGTCTAATCAATTTTTAGTAACAGCCACTTTATAAAGGAAGAAGTATCATACAAAAGGGTTTTGTTGTTGTTGTTTTGTTTTGTTTTGTTTTGTTTTGAGACAGGGTCTCAGTATGTTGTTCAGGCTGGCCTCAAACTCCTGGGCTCTAGTGATCCTTCTGCCTCAGCTGGAATTATGAGTGCATGTTACCATACCCAGAACAAATGAGGTTTTAAGTACTCATTCTCATTATTATAATATGCATAAATGTACATTGTAGGAAATTTTAATAGAACACCTACAAGTTAGTAATAGGAAAACAAGTCTATCACTGAAGCTATATATGGAGCTGCATATCAGGACTTACCAAGCTAGCTTCAATTCTTTAGGAATTAGTTTAAACTCTCTTTTTAAAAGTTCATTAGTTTAAAAGTTCATTAAGTTAAAAAATTAATGTTAAGTTTACACAATTATCCAAACATCATTATTAAAAGTAAAATATTCTGCCGGATTTGAATGAACATCACACAACTGATTCACATCTAATTTTACAGCATATATTCCTAAGGAACCTCTGTACCTATCTCCATTATAAACCTTAGTAATATCTCCAAGCTTACCCTAACCCCTCTAGAAGACCAAAAAGTGAAAATACTTAGTATTTGTTGAATTAATGTGGCAGGAGGGGATTATATAGAGGTGGCTAAAGAAACTTGGTTAGTTTCAAAGAGACGATATCTACAACAGGTTCACTACCTAGGAACAGTTCACACATTTAAGTCTGGTAAAAAGAATAAAAGAATGAACAAATGAATTAAGTTTTAAAGTTCACAGGAGAACCTTATCCAAATCATTATCCACCAACCTCCCATGTCTGTTAGTCTAAAACCCATGCACCAATTGCTTCTGAAGACCCCAAATCTGAGGGCTGGAACCAAACTTGATATATTCAACAAGATTTTTATCACAGGGTTCATTATACCACAACTATGTTTTCTTAATATTACTAATGGAAAATCCTCACTGAATGCTATTCATGCCTACATAAAAATTACCTTGAAATTGTTTAATTATGTTAATTCTAAAGAATGGCTAAGTATTCCTAAGTTAACTTTAAAAAAAAATTGCTTATGCTATTAGACTAATTACCCTTGCAGCCCAACAGTTCTAGCTCTAAAAATTTGACACCAAGGGGTCTTAATTCCTCTGAGCAATCTATTCAATATCCCTTCCTTTGGAGAACCAACCCTTCCCCAGTCCGGACTCATCTTGCTTTGACATATGGGGTAAGAGGAAATTAAATCGGTTGAAAGACTCAGATAAGGGCAATTAACTTAGCCCATTTCCCACCATCATAAATGGGTGCAAACAAACCCAGAAGCCTCCCATGGACTTCCACCAGACCTAAGGAGAAAAGCACTCTCTTCTGTAAGATACTGAGTGTTGTGGACGATTGTAATTACACTACAGCCATCCCTCTCAATACAGGAACAAAGCTTTCGAGGGAAGCATCATGGAGGCAAGACGATCTCCAGTGATACCTAAGGAAAGAATATCCCTAGACTTTTCAGTTAGCAGAATAAGTCTTTTCTGTCCTTTCTTTTTTTTTTTTTTTTTTTTTTTTTTTGAGACGGAGTCTCGCTCTGTCACCCAGGCTAGAGTGCAGTGACGATTTCAGCTCACTGCAGGTTCCGCCTCCCGGGTTCACGCCATTCTCCTGCTTCAGCCTCCCAAGTAGCTGGGACTACAGGCGCCCACAATCACGCCAGGCTAATTTTTTGTATTTTTAGTAGAGACGGGGTTTCACCGGGTTAGCCAGGGTAGTCTCGATCTCCTGACCTCGTGATCCACCCGCCTTGGCCTCCCAAAGTGCTGGGATTACAGGCATGAGCCACCGTGCCCGACAGAATAAGTCTTTTCTCAGCTCAAGCTAGTTTAGCCTGGGTTTCTGCTACTTGGATTGGAATATAGTTGTGATTCTCTTGTGAAACAAATAGAATATACTATACGGAGATGAACAAGGTAGGCAAAAGAAATTTTTAACTAAAAAATCCTATAAAAATGTTCTTATAACTATTAAGTATAATGAAACGAACCCACAATAAACCAACATGAGCTAAATAAGCATTTGCTAAAATAACAAATTTACTCTATTATGTATATACCTGTTTGTGAACAAACTGCTTTTAAACAACCTACCTTGAACTGTTCTATTATATAACTAGAGTTTTATTTCAAATACTTGTAGCTCCTAACTTCCAGAATTCTCCATGTGTCATTTGATTATTTTGAACTGAGGAAGATGGTCCATTTCATGTGGACAATGTGATGAGTTGATCAGACATTTGGTCCAGTGTCCCAATTCCCTCACTTCGCCCACTTCCTTCAAGCAACTACTATTATGAAATCTAAATTTGGAGAAAGACAGTGATGGAAAAATGGGGGGAAAGGGGAAGCTTCAATCAGAGACCCAAAAAAGTGAAAACTACTTCTAAGTAAATGTGGCAAGAGAAATCAGTACATGGCAGACTGCTGCTCCCAGGCACCTGATCGACGGAGCCCTCGCCGACCAAGGGCTGGGGCAGGCGGGCAGGCAGCACAAGCGGGCAGTCACAGCCGGCCTGCAGGGCGGGTCCTTTTCACCAGCAAAGAATGCAGACCACACCTACGCGCCCGGTCAGGCCGGGGCGGGGCGGCTCGGCCCAGGTTACAGGATTGAGGAAAGGGGGGAGACAGGAAGAGGGGCGGCGAGGGACGGCTGGCAAACAAACTACCCACTCCCAGCCCCGCGCCCACCTCAGGAGCGTCTCGAGCGCGCCCTCGTGCTTGTCCAGCGGGCGACCGACTGCGGCGCGGCGCAGCTTGCTGAGCTCCTCCGCCGCGCGACAGTACTGGGCCTGCTCTTCCCCGCCGCTCGGGTAAGTCTGCTGGATGAACTTCACCAGCGGCTTGGCCAGGTCCACCTCTGAGGTCTTTTTCAGCTGCACCGAGATGAATGTCGCCATGATCAGCGCCTCCGCCGCCGTTCGGGCCAAACAGACAGCGGACAGCTTACGACGGCCGAGAAGACAGAGGTACTGGTCTGGCGGACTGGCGGACTGACGGGCTGACGGACGTGCGCTCCGCTTGCGTTCCGGGTCCGGCCACTTCCGGGAGCTCCAGCGCAAGCGCACTGGATGCGGGGTCCTTAAGCCGTTCGCGGTCACGTGAAGGTGTCGCGGCGGCGACGCCCTCCTGGACCCAGTTCAGGCTGTGGTATGCTGTAAAATACTACTTTCTCCGCATCTGGAATTCTTCCCTTCCTCCTTCTTGCCGCAGTGGTGTACTGACCACTTTCACGTAAGAGTATTCATCCACTCGAACAACCCCCTGGAGAAGTACTCCTGTCACTGCCACCTGCGAGAGTTTGCGGCTACCTCCCCAAGATGCGGTCCCAGGGTTATTGTGACCTATGATGTTTATTAAGCTACTGTTGACGGGCTGCTGTGCACAGGGAACCTGGTAGGCAAGACCCCTGCCATCGTGCAGCTTACTGTCAGGTTGACACAGATATTAAGGTAAACGGAAAAAGTATCAGGAAGAAAAACAGGGTGCTTGGGATTTAGGAGATGTTAAGATCGCTTGGAGGACCCTAATTTAAATAAGATAAAGAAAGTAGGTTTTCTCCGAGTAGGTGAACTGAAAATGAACCTGTGTCTGTGGTTGCTGTTTTGTAGAAAGAACAAAATTTTAAATACATTGAAAACGACACCTGTAATTTGAGAAGATGCTTGACATCAGGAGAGGAGAAGAGTGGAGAGAGGTGGAGTGGCAAAGGAGAGTCTCCAAACCAAAAGCCTGCGTGCAGAGGCCCTAGGAGGCAAGCACTTACCATGTTTCGGGAGTAGAAACGAAACATATGACAAGACTCTTAAAAACAAATAGAATTGGGATGGAATAAAGTTGGATGAGTAAGCAGACATCAAATCGTTCAGAAACTTGTAGTCCAAGTTGAAGAATTTGTTTAGTATTGTATAATAAATGCAGAGGAAGCTATGTACATTTATAATTTACATTTTTTAAAGGCCACGTTGTAGCTCAATCGGATAGTTTGTCTTTTGATGGAATAGTATACAGTATCATCATGATATATTCCAGGCAAAAATATTTAACTTGAATCTATCAAGCCTTTGCATCTCACAGACTTTATAAAAAAATACAACTGATAGATGAACAAACTAAATGATGCCAGAGGAAGTAACTAGACAGAAGGTGAAACCAGAAGGTGAAACATTCTGCAGGATAACTGGCCCATCTCTTCAACAATTTGTCATGAAAAAAGCAACTGCTTTATGAAAAGAAATTTAAGGGACATAACAGTTTGAATTGGATCCTAGTTTGAACAGACTATAAAATGCATTTTCAGGAACATTAAAGAAATATGAATGTAGATGGACTGAGTATTGGATAAAATAGAACTGTATTGCCATGGAAAAGATCATTAACTGAAAAGAGCAAGTCACGAAGTAGTATGTTACAGCATCCCATTTTGGTTTAAAAATGCACATCTGTGTATTTAGGTACAATGAAAAAAATAGTGGGCTTATACCCTAAGGTGTTAGTAGTGGTAATCTTTGGAAGTGGAAATGTGTATTTTCTTATTTATGTTTGCCTATCTTTTTCATTGTAACTTTTGCAGCACATAGACTACTTTCATTATAGTAAAAGTTTATTTTACCACAATTTTTTTTTTTTTTTTTTTTTTTTTTTTTTTGAGACAGAGTCTCAATCTGTCACCCAGGCTGGAGTGCAGTGGCACAATCTCAGCTCACTGCAACCTCCGCCTGCCAGGTTCAAGCTATTCTCTTGCCTCAGCCTCCTGAGCAGCTGGGACTACAGGTGCATGCCACCATGCCTGGCTAATTTTTGTGTTTTCAGTAGAGACTGGCTTTCACAACATTGGCCAGGCTGGTCTCGAACTCCTGGCCTCAAGTGATCCACCCACTTCAACCTCACAAAGTGCTGGGATTACAGGTGTGAGCCACTGCACCTGGCCTATTTTACCACAATTTATAAAAAGTTTTGCTTATTTTAATTAAGTTATTCTAGGTTAAAATAAGTAGCCACCCTTGGCTGATACATAAATAAAACATTAGAGGAAGGAAAGAATGGAAGCAAGGAGGCAAATCATGAGATCATTTCAGAAATCAAGACAAGATCATGAAAGCTAACATTAACAAGAATGAACCAAACGGTTAATATCTTTGAGTTTAAAACTGAAGAATTTACCAATGAATTGCATAGGAAAGTAAAGGGAGTGGTCAAGGATAGATCCTGGTTTTGGGGCCAGAACATCTGTGTGGTTAGTAGAATCATTACCAGTTGATAACCCATGAAAGAGGGTCGGGGATGGGTGGTGTCTTGTAGGTTGGTTGACAGGACTGACCCATTGGGAAGATAATGAAGAAGCAAAGTATATGAAAAGAGGAGGAGAAAGGGTAACCAGAGGAGGGAGGATACAAAGAGAGTAATTAGCCATCAGAAAGATGAGGGACATGACATTTGTTGAGGCAGATGACGGGGAAAAGAAAGTTAACATAAATGTGATTAGTTTTGTGACATTGACCGAAGGAAGATTAAGGTGATACTATCTGATGGCTTAGAATGAAAACCAAACTCCCTACCACAACATGATGGTCTTTCTCTGCAACTTCATATTTTGCCTCTTGTTCCTCATTTGTTACCACTGAGTCACAGTGGTCTTTTTAGTTTCTCAACTCACCAAGGTCTTTCTTGCCTCATGTGACCTAGAATGTTTTCTCCCTTTCTTCATGTCTTGGTTGAAAGGTCTCCTCTCATCATCATCATACTATCTAAAGTACATTCCCTCCCTTGTTAACCTCTAGTGCAGCCATTAGTTCCTTCATAACACTTACCCTAACTTGCAAGTATTTTGTTTGTTGATTTAATTTTTATCTGACTTCCCCACTAGAATGTAACCTCCATGAGGGCAAAAATTGTGTGTTTTGTATACCAGTATGTCTCTAACACTTGGTATAGCAGGCACTCAATTTCAATTTTAAACTCAAAGATAGTATCTTAATAAACATTTGTTCTTTGCTCACACAAAGTCTAATATGGAACAGGCTTAGAGTTGTCCTCCAACCAGTGTCTGAGCAATCCAAACCACTTTGATCTTGTAACTCTGCCGTCCCAACATGAGATTCCACTTTCGCTGCAGAAGAGGGAATCTATAGCATCATGCAGTGGCTTGTCACTACCTCAGCCCTCCCACTTCCACTTGTATTTCACTAGCTAGAACCTTTCATATGGCTCCGCCAAACTGCAATGGGACTGGGAAGGAAGAATCAGATATTAGGGAGCATTCATAATGCCTTCTGAGGGTGTGTTTCACTGCTTCTAAACTTGCTTATGATGATGTTAGTTTTTCATCTATGTGATGAAATGCCATATATTCTTAGTGTGTGTTCTCAGCATAACAAATACATTTTGGGAATATTAAGTCAATGGATTTTCTTTCTCGAAAATTCCTAGTTCTGGGCCTATCATTAACCCCACTGATTGAACCAGTGGAAATAGTTGCCTCTTCGAATGGACAGAACCCTGCTAAAGGCAGCTTTGAGTTTCAAAATAGTATGTTTCAAGTCCACATTGAGACAATAGCCTGAAAGTAAGCACTTATGATTTTTGGAGGAGCCTTTGTTGTTAAGGAGAAAAGAGGCTTACAGAAGTCAGATTCAGAAGACTGTAATATTTTTACAATAAATGAAAGTAAACAGTATAAGGATTTGATGTAAGGGAAGTTCCTGCAGTGCAAGAAAGAAAGTCCTTTTGGTGCTGAGCAGAAGAGTCTGAGAGAGAAGGTGAAGAACAAAAGGAAAATGTAAATATGGTATTCATACTTCCTTACTCCGCACTCAGGATAAACCTAGAGTATGAGGTAGAGGGGGGAATCTAGAGGGGAGGAAGCATGGAATAGGAACACCCAAATAGACTTGATGAAACAAAAAACATCAAGGATGGCTCCTGTGTCACCTGGGAAGACACATTTCTTGTGCGGAATAGAAAAAAGGCAATGTTAAAGGACCAGGGCCCTAGATTTTTTACAATGTGCAACAGAGAACTATTTGTCTCCTTAATTTACTAGCATATTTACCTTTAAAAATTGATGAATGAAAGAAAAATTACCCATTTTTCAAACATGGGTGTGTAAATTTTTTCCACTTTGTACAGAAAATTTTAAAGAAATAGAAACTACTGAGCACCTTATATTCAGAATTACTCCCTGTGTAAGCCCATTCCAGTCCCATATACTGCTGATTAAATTTTCATCAGTTGGCAGTTCTCTAGTATCGGTTTCACTGCTATTTAAGTAACTACTGCCCTTTGCTACCAGTGTCTCTCTTGGGTGAGAGTCACTTTACTTGAATGAGATAACTTCTGAGAATACATTTATGCACTATTTTGGAAGAATTGTTCTATAGAGTAAAAAATAATTCTGGATAATTGAAAGTTATCTTGTGAGTATCTGGACATTAAGGATACATTTCAAGACTCCCATTTTCACTAAAATCCCGTATTTGTTTAAGCATTTCAAGTTAAAGGGAGCACCCTCCCCCTTTCACCCTGACTGTTGTTGTTAATTCGTTTTTGGAGCTATATAAGAATGTTTCTTTAATCGATTTTCCCTTAGGCATACATTAGCTCTCTGTTCAAAACTCAGTAGCAGGGAGTAGTAAGTAAATGGTTATTAGTGATTCTTCATATAAAGCACATTTGAGTTTCTTAGAAGAAAATTATGCATAAAGATTACTTTCAGATATCATGTCTTTAGTTTGTTAATAGAGAAGTTTCTTTGAAACTTATTGTAGTGTAGAACACTGTAATAAGATAAATTTTAAAAAAGAAAGATAAGCATATATATAAAATGTATGCAATTTCATTTCACAATTGAAATGAAAACCAAATCCTACAAGCTTCTTGGTACAAAGTTTTGGTAACACTTGGATGACCAGACTGAGTTATTCAGCAAATATTTTTGGAGCTTCCACTGTGTGCCAAACAAAATGTAATTCAAGAGAATTCTATGACCAATCTATTAATCTATTGTATATATTTACAGAGGTCTTTATTCCACCCTTATATAAGGTAGTTCGGCAAATAGTTCATAGGAGGAGGTCTAGGAAAGCAGTTAAGGAAAGTCGTAAAATGGCAGCTCTGCAGCAAGCAGAAAGTACAGCTAGCCCAGAATAAGGAGAGGGTGGAGGGCTGCAGGAGGAAGATCCAATAGAAACAAAAAAAAGGTTGGAGGGATGATTAGATAGAATGAAAACCACTGGGTTTCTCACTGGAAAAATTATTCTTTTCCCTTTGTAATTAACAACTAATTTGTGGGAATATAATTTGAGGCTATATAAAATGCTGTTCCACATTAAACTTTCTTCCACTAGTTTTAGCATACTTTGATGATTCTTGCATGAATCTAGTATTTCTATGATGATTGCAAAATGGCAATTTTCTTATTCATTATTATGCCTATGTCTATTAGCTGACATTATTCTAGAAAGAAGAATTTTCTTTTCTCCTGTATTTATTTATTCATTTATATGTTTATACCAACATGAACCCATGGATTTTTATTCAATTTAGTAGATTATAAACCATTATTATTATTTATTTTGATGCTCAAATTGTCCAAGATTTGACTAATATAAACACCCTCAAGGTGGCTCCTATGTTCTTTTTCTTCCAATATTTCCTTTTCTTTTCTTTTTTTTTTTTT